CCCCCATCCCCAAATTTCCAGCTGATTTCAAACTATGGGATTTCAACATTTTCCTTTGTTGTGAACCCAGAAGGCAATGCTCCCTGCCAGCAATGCTGGCAATGGGTAGGATGGAAATTATGAAGAAATAGAAATCTTCTTAAGGGTCCATTTCAGACTTTTTACATTTTCATGTTACAAATATCAGGCAGAAATGCCTGATGGTGAAAACATCCCCAGTTTGGGTGATACTTTCTGTGTTACTTCACTTCATCAGGCAACTTGTCTTTCTGCTGCTTCCCACCTCCACACCCTAAATAACTTCTATTAACTCCCACCCCTAAAAGAAAAGAGAGAATTTTTTTGCTTCCTTAATCCCTCCCTTCTGATTTTAAAATTGCAGATTTTCTGGCTTCATTTTCTATTATTTTAAACAAAAAGACTCCTGATTTTTCGCACAGAAAAGCATTTTGGATGAAATGCTCTTCTCCTCTCAAAAATCTCCTACCCTTAAATGCACGGATTTATTCCTAATGCCACTGAAATTATTTAATGCATTTAATATTTGTTTAAGTAGATAAAGTGAGCTGGGAGAGTAATTAAAAGGCAGGTTTTTCCTGGAAGGATAGTAAAAAAATTTGGGAACGGATCCTTAACTGGTCTAATGACTGCAGCCCTGAGCTGCTTTGCCAGTGAAGCCCAGGGGAGAAACTGGCCCAAAACTTCAAAGGCAGGAGAGACCCAGCTCCAAGGACAGACAGACACCGGAGTCACCCAGGCCCTTGGGGACGGTGTGGGGAGCCCTCCAGAGCCTTGCATTCATTACGAGAGGGGTTTTTTTCTTTTCTTTTCTTTTTTTTAATGAAGAGCAGTTGCAAACATGGCTCAGATCGCAGGATGACTTTATCTGCCATCTAATTCAGATGTGGGGAGGGTGGGGGGAAATAGGACCCACATGTTATCAGCTGATAGATGAAATAGAGAGAGGATTATTAAGGAGGATAAAGGCGATGAGGAAAGAGGAGCTGTGCCTGCTGCCGAGACCCATCTCTCCCTCCTCTCCCTCTTCCCCACAAACTCCAGTTAAATGATGAAAAGGCCGGTGTCAAGGCTTGGGGATTTATGTGGATAATGGCGCAGCGAGGCCTGGCATTAGAGAATTAGATCCACGTGTTGCTCCTGCAGGATGATCTATGGGCAGGTTTCTGGGGATCAGCAGAAAAGTGAAATACGACGGCGGCTTCTCCGGCCGGCTCTAATCTCCCCCCACTCCCACGTCCCCTCCCCGCCAGCAGCTCCACCCGGCTGTCTGCCATCACCCAGCCCACGCCACCAGCACCACCTCAATGACTTCTCTGTGCCTCATGGATGCTTCTCTTGGGTGGCCCGTCAAGGAGCGCCTGGATGAGGTCTCCCCTCAGCCTCCTCTTCTCCAAACGGAACTGGGCATGTTTAGTTTGGAGAAGAGGAGGCTGAGGGGAGACCTCATTGCCCTCTACAACTACCTGAAAGGAGGGTGTAGAGAGGCAGGTGTTGGCCTCTTCTCCCAAAGGACGAACGACAAGACCAGAGGAAATGGTCTGAAGTTGGGGCAGGGGAGATTTAGATTAGATATTAGAAAGAACTACTTTACTGAGAGAGTGGTCAGGCCCTGGAACAGCCTGCCCAGGGAGGTGGTGGAGTCACCATCCCTGGAGGTATTTAAGAAACGTATAGACATGGCTCTTCAGGGCATGCTCTAGTGCCCAAGGTTATTGGTTTATGGTGAGGTGTTGAGTGTGGGGTTTAGTTGGTGGGTGCGGTGTTTTTGGTGGGCGTTTGGTGTGGTGTGTTTTGTATTTGTTTGGTTATTGGTTTTTTTTTGTTTGTTTTTTGGTTTTTGTTTTTTTTTTGTGGTTGGACTCGATGATCTTAGAGGTCCCTTCCAACCCCTAAGAGTCTGTGATTCTGTGATGCTGCATCCCAGGACAGGCTGGACCCCATGGAGAGGTCGGGAGTCTGCACAGCACCATGGGGTAAGACCATTTTGAGCTTTTGCAGAGGCTATGGAGTTCCATCCAGCAGCTCTGAGAAGGGCTGAGTGTGTTTCCACAATATTTCTGGCAGCTGGGGACCACCACAGCCCCTCGTTTGCAGGAGTCCCTACAGCCAAGCGCACCAGGGAAGGGACCAGGTTTAGTGTCAGCATCTCTGGTGGTGCCCAGGTTTGATAGTGGATCTCCCCACCATCCTTTCTTCTTGGAGAAGAAAAGAAGGGAAGACAAGCTTGCAGTTGCACCATCCCCACGAGAAGGTGGGAGGGCAACCTGGTCCAGCCCCTTCCCACTCCCCGTGAGCGTTGGTGGGACCGCACGTCCTTGTTCAGCTCCCAGCATGAGGAGATGTTGTGCAACTGCTGCTCTTCCCTGGTGGGCTGGATTCTGACTGGCGGTGCAAGGCAGTGTATCCTGCCCCAGGACCTGTTTCCTTGTGGGCTGTGGTCCTCCTCCTGTGAGTCTGCTCGTTAAACACACGCCTCCACACATCCATATCTGAGGAGGCAGCAGGAGGTTATTCTATGTCTCTGGAATCTGATTAATCTCAACCTAGACATAGTATTAATAATTTAATATTCCCCTGCATATAACATTTTCTCTTGCCTCCCACATAGCCCGAGTAAAGGGTTAGAGATTTGCCTCAAATAATATTATCTTGCTGTTTTTCCACTCTGAGCTTTAACCTTTCCAGATTTTCCTGTTAAGGTACTTGGAGGGAAAAAAGAAGCAAGATCTTGTCAGAAAATAGCAGCCTCTCAATTGGTGACCATCAGCCCTTCATTGGAGTAGGTTCCCCGAGCATGGGATTTGGGATGTAGGTGGTTGCAGTGGCCTGTTTGAAGTCTGTCGTTACTGAAACAGTCCCCTTCCTCCTCCTCTGCCTTAGGTTAAAGCCCCCACATGGGTCAATCTGTCCTTCCCACCCTCCCCTCCGCTGTCTATCCTGGGCCACCGCGCTCTTCTAGGGTGGTGGGTGCTGGGAGCCGGGTCAGGATCCCAGGGTGGGTGGCAGGAGGGTACATCTTGTGAGGGCATCCTGGCCTGTATCAGGAACAGCGTGGCGAGTAGGGCCCAAGAGGTGATTGTCCCCCTGTACTCGGCACTGGTGAGGCCTCACCTTGAGTACTGTGTCCAGTTTTGGGCCCCCTACCATAAAAAAGACATTGAGGTGCTGGAGCGGGTCCAGAGAAGGGCGACAAAGCTGGTGAGGGGTCTGGAGAATAAGTCTTATGAGGAGAGGCTGAGGGAACTGGGGTTACTCAGCCTGGAGAAGAGGAGGCTGAGGGGAGACCTTATTGCTCTCTCCAACTCCCTGAAAGGAGGGTGTAGAGAGGTGGGGGTCGGTCTCTTCTCTCAAGTCACAGGCGACAGGACAAGAGGAAATGGCCTCAAGTTGCGCCAGGGGAGGTTCAGGCTGGATATTAGGAAAAATTTTTTCACTGAAAGGGTTCTCAGCCCTTGGAATGGGCTGCCCAGGGAGGGGGTTGAGGCCCCATCCCTGGAGGTGTTCAAAAGCCGGGTTGATGTAGTGCTGGGAGGTCTGGTTTAGTGATGATGCTCCTTGTTTGTTGTGTGGGTGTCTATTTTTGTCAGTTAGGTTGATGGTTGGACAAGATGATCTTTAAGGTCCCTTCCAACCTAGAAGATTCTGTGATTCTGTGATTCTGTGACTTTGCAGGCCATAATCCTGTTTATACCTCCTGGTCCAGCAGTTGCCTTTCTCCCAAGGGCAGACGACTGGTGACTCCTGCACATGAGCCCTGCCTTGCTTGCCCGGTGGTCAGCGGTCATTCCCCGTGCTGGTCATTCCCCTTGAATGAAATCCTTTACGTTTGCCCTTGCTGAACTCTCTGTGGGAGTGTTTTTTTCAGGACCTAGCTCCATTTTTTTTCAAGGTCAAGCTAAACGCCTGATTTTGGCATTGCTATTTAGGCATTGTCTCGCTCGGACTCTGCTTGAGTTTATCCATCTTCAAAATAAGGCTGACACTAATTGCCCATTTGCAATGCATTTCCAGACACGTGGCTGTAAAGTGCTATATGAAAAAAACAGGCATTGTTATTATGAAACCTTCAGGAAAAAAATTAATAGATTCATATAACTCCACAGTCATTAAAACAAACCGTATGTGGATGGAAGAGACCAGAACTGAATAAACCTTGAGCAAACACAGCCTTTCACAATGAAACACAAACTGGTTTTAATCAGCAGAGCCAAGTAAGTTTTATTTTCCGAGGTTTCTTTTTCCCCCATCTCCTTTGAATATTAGCAATTGCAGAAGAGCACACTGGCCTGACAAAAAGAGGGGAACTTTGCCCGACTCCTGGTCTTAATGAATATCATTTTTACAAAACAACAACAAAATACTCTGCCTGGGCTGGCCAGGTCTCAAGTTGCTTTTAGCTACACTAGGATTTCAGCCAGCCTTCCTGAGCGTGTTAGAGCACTGCTATTTGCCCATAGGTTTGGGACAAAATTGGGTTTAAGCCCCATGAAATGGTAAGAAGGGACTGATGATCACCTCCTTGGGTTCCCTTCCTTTGGGGAGGCCACGCAGCCATTTCTCCTTCTGCCTCACCAACATCTCCTGTGTTTGTTTGGGAGACAGAAATAGCTTCTGCAGAGAGGACGGTGAGGTTACACATCCTGAGATGTCACGGTGAGTCACCCACCTGGAGCTGGTGGGGCTGCCTGTAAGGTGAGGAGTGGGGAACACCCTCAGAGGGGAGCCCTGTGGTGTCCACCTCATCTCTGTCTGCACTGGGGACCTCTCCAGCAGGACACCTTTCACACCGGGATGTTCTCATTGGTTTTTAAGTGTCCTGGTTCCTCTATGAGGCTGATAGCTTGATCCTGAAAGAACCATCCCTACCATTCACCAGCATGAGACAGCCTCCAACTGGAAAAGGACAGGGTAATGATGTCTATCTGTCTGTCTATCTCTTTGCCTCTTCCATCCACACTTTAGAATCTCCACGGACCTTGCCACCACCTGCCTAATGACTGTTAGTTACCCCTATACAAAGTTGACCCTGTGCTGATCACCCAGCGTCATAGACTTTCCATTTTCATCCGTACCAGCTGACTTCAGTGTCCAGGACAAAAAGCTATTGCAGAAGGTTGTGTTGCCATCTATTTCTTGGTGTGAAAAGTGCTAGCTGTAAATCAGTGGTGGTGGGATTTGTTGAGGAGAAAGAGAAGGGAATGAACTTTCTCACTTTACTTTGTTTTCCTCACACAGAATCCAAACTCGTTTCTGGGATTAAGAAAGTGGAGACTTAGCATCTTGTGGGCTGTCAAGGAGGAAAAGATGGAAGAAAACGGCCTGGCAACTAGCATCCTTGCTAAGGCACAAAAGTTGTGATGTCTGCTTGCAAGTTCATTTGTAAGTACTCAATTTAGTGACATGTCTTGTAATGATGTACATGGAGGAGGGCTTTTGGATGATGCACGGGTTGGTCTCGTTCCTGGATGGGAAACTTCCCCTCTGTGCTGCTTCAGTGTCTGGAATAAATGAGCACCCTCCTAGTGATGCCATCAGACAATGGGAGCACCAGCCAGACCTGGAAATGTGCAGGTTCTTGGGAGCTGTAGGAGTGTGAGATTGTGTAATTTGTTGGCAAAAGTGTGTGTATCTATTTGCAATCTATTGTCTCCTGCTAACAGGTTTAGGCGCAGATCAGTAATGGTATTTAATCACCTGCCTCTTCGTAATGACATTCATAGGTAGACATTTAACTATATTTTGTCCTCAACTAAGCTAGGGCCATCGTTTTTCTTTTGTCACTGGCAGAGACCGTGCATAAAGATGTGTAATAACTTTTAAGCAGGTGCCAGTTCCTGGTGATGCTGAGACCTTCATTTTTCAGCTCAGTCACCATCTCTGTGCTAAAGCTGGTGATCTTGTGTCCGAATCTAACCCAGCCTGAGGTTCAGAGAAATGGCACAGTCATTGCACTGTCAACAAATGCTCTCAAACAGCAGCAATGACAGTCCCCTACAGCAATTTCCTTCTGACACTGCCTGTGACGATGACAATGACTCATAAAAGCTAGAAGCCGTCAGATTCTTTGGCCGGGTGAGGTGTCCTGCTGGTGCTCTGAGGGTCTCGCACTTGGGTGAGACTTTGTGTCCCATCAACCCAAAGGATGAGTGAGCGAGTGGTGTCTGGATTAGGCTGAGGAAAAGAGGCAGGGCAAAAACCAAGACCAGAACTGTTGCTAAAGCAGTGGGATGAGTTCTGGATTTTGCAAGCAAAACGCATGTTCCTCTCTCCATAGTTTCTGCAGGGAAATTTTCTTTTTTAATTTTATTTTCATTTTATGGTATTTCTGGAGACAGCAGTGCAGGAATATACCGTCTTGTCACTGAAGAGAGGGTGTCAGGCTACCATGTCCTTTCCCCAGTGTTCTACCAGGACAGAACTGGGCAGATTCCCCGGTGATGAGACAGTACCACCAGGCACACGTGTCTGTTGGGTGATTTAAGTTCTCAGTAGCTCTGCTGCACCATGACTAATGGGTGAGGCGAAGAGAAAGGTGTGAGAGGGGCTGCACAAATGCTAAGTGAAGGAGGGCCTCCTTGCCAAAAATGTGCAGCCTGCTGAGACAGGGACAGGGCAGGCAGCGAGGAGCAGCATAACCCAGTCTTGGACCCTTCCCGATGATGCTCTTCAAGGAGGTCCATCAACCCACGATGGATGATAGTCTCACCTGTAGACGTTTCTCCATATGACTGAATGTGAAGCACAAGCAGAACATCCCCCAAGACAATTCCTTGAGGCAGCTGGTGGCATCAGCCAATCTCTCCACGGCGTTTGTCACAAATCAAGTTATTACAGGCCGCATCCCGCGTGACTGCGGCGTTACTCACCGTGTTTACTTTCCATCCAACTCACCTCTTCTGCTGCGCAGAACCAGTCGTGCCAGCTACCAGATGCCATCTAAACGGTCTGGAATGGACTTCTCATGTGCGAGATACGTTAGGTCATGTAAGTCCTTCCCAAGGGGTATAATTAGGGATCGCCCCACCCACCTCACACACGTTGAGCTTGATGAGGCTTGTTGGGCTGCGAACCCCCCCAATAGCAGAAGAAAAGAGCTTGCAGTGAAGGCTGCCCCGAGGGCTGGTGGTTCCATCTCTGGGGCACATCACCCTCTGCCAAACCCATGGCCTGGAGGTGCTGACCCAAGGGTCTGCACACAACCGTGGTGGCATCCAACTGGGGGATGCTCCTCACTCACAACCCGGTCCCGTTTGCTCGCTGCTCACACGTTACAGCCCTCATGGGCTGGGGGGAAATACCCTTCTTTTTGCACAATTAGCTTGGCCATGAATACTTTCTGTTAAAAAACAATCAGGCTCTGCAAACTGAAGATATTTTGCTTTTTCCATTGCTGTGGCTTCCTCCCATTTTCCAGTAGCATAAATAGAAATGGAATATATATAGTTTTTTTAAATTCATATTCTTATTTTGTGAAAAGACCCCCCCCCAAAAAAATAATTGCAGAGGCAAATGCATCTGGCAAACCCTTCACCTATTAAAAAAGAATAAATCACCCAACTTGGCAGGACATTTCCAAGACAGTATGAGAAAAATATAAGATCAGTTCTATCTGAAAAGGAATTACCATCTTTAATTGACAAGTGGCAGAAAGGAAATTGTTATTCTTATTTAAACACGTCCCAAACCTGCAGCTTATAAACTTCCTGTTGATCTCAGGCTTGTGGTCCCTGATTGTTTTTGTTTTGCATTTTCAAATCTGATTTTTTTGTTTCCTTTTTATTCTCATGCCTGATTCATTTTCTCTCTCGTTTAGGAGGTCAGCTTTTCAAAACTGATCTTTCGTCATCTTTCATCCAGAGTTAGCATCCTCACATCAATTTCAGTGCAGGGAAGCTCCTGTCTCTGAGCTGTTTGTGCATCTTTCTCTGAAGTCCCTGGTCCAGGCCACACAAGCACCTGGGCTGATGGAAGCTGGAATTGCCCATGTTTCTACGTCAAACATCTCAGAAGAACTCAGGTCCTCCAGAAAGGAAGCCCACAGCCTTCAGAAGGTGAGGAGGATGCCTCTGGTTAAGCTCACAGGGAGGAATAAAAAATAATCCCATTTTAATTGTTTTTTTGGTTTTTTTTTAAACTCTGCCCTTCCAAAAAGGTATGAAACAGAGCAGGATGTTAAATGTACAACCTGCGTCAGCAAGGAGCTTGCTCTTAATCAACCATCCACCTGAGATACCTGGGGGCAAGGAAGGAGGAACGTGTTGGGACAGAGCGAAGCCACCGCCGAGGAGAGCGGCCACACAACCTGTGAGCCTTCGGAAGCCACTTGTTAAACGTCTCCCGTTTGATCCCCAGGGAACAGTGTGCCAGAAACGGGATGAAAATGTTACTTCCAAGAAAGTGTCCCCCCCCACCACCACCTCGCCACCTCACCCCAGCAGGTTTGTTCTCCTAATTGACTTACGGCGCTCGGTTCTCAATTAGCCTGCTTGGAAATGTGATCGGCACCGGTAATTTTCCACTTTATGACATACTTTATAACAAATAATTTAAAAAATCATAAATAGCAGTAGTATTAGATCACTGGTGCTCATGAACTAACCTTCGTTTAAAGTATGGTGTAGAAAAGAGGGATTTTTTTTTTTTTGATGATGAATCTTTAAAACCGTGTCTGTGTTACTCTTTTACCTTAATTAAATTATTGCTTATAAGAACTTTTGCTTGGTCAAAAAGAGAAAACCCAACTATAATAATTCCATTTCAGTGTTTTCCATAAGCTCCCAGCCAAGTTGGCCAATAACTAAGGCAAAGAGCAGGGGGAAAAAAAAAAAAAGGTATGTATTGTATACTCACTTAAAACTTGGCTAGAAATGACCTTTTATTGTCTAATTTTTTTTTTTTCCATGCCCAACTTGGCTACTTGAGGCAAACTCATTGCCAAGTTTCTATAGTGTGTTATTTTCCAATGTGTTCAAAAACATTTTCAAAAGCTGCCCTCCAAGTGTTGTGCAGAGGTTTTGCTGGGACGAGGGCAAGAGGAGGCCGGGTTTGATAGTGACACCAATGAAGATGCTGCCATTAAAAAGCTGGATATGTTTTGCTTGTTTGGGTTTTTTCTTTTTTTTCTTTTTTTTTTCCTTTTTAAAATCTTCTTTTTCCTCCTTTTCCCCATGCAGCCCAGTATGGCAAAATCTCCAAATGGGCTGGGCTAACGAATACAGCTGAAGACAGCCGTGTGATGTTAATGTAAACCTCCTCTGTCAGCTTGGAGAGGCACAGGGAAGGGAAGGGAAGAGGGAAGGGAAAAGGGAAGGGAAAAGGGAAAGGAAAAGGGAAGGGAAGGTTTCATGCAGTGCCCGTCTCTGCCGGGTGCCAGGCAGTGGCATTTGTCAGGCAGACCCTCTGGCTGGGTCACCGTAACATGTGTGGGGTTGTGTCTGAACACATCGATGACTTTTTAATTAAAAAAAGAAAAAGGAAGCAATCTTGGGTTGTAAAAAAACAACCCTCAAATCAGTTCCTCTCATTCTGGCTCATCCATAAGGATCCGGCCGTCGCTCAAGTGACACTTGAGTCATGGTAAAATAAGAACTACAGCTCTCCCCACATTTCAAGGGTAATTTCCCTTTGAGTCCCTCATTAAAAACACCACACTGGAATACATATAAAGAGCGGGGGCTCAGGCATATTCTTATTTGGGATCATTTAATTTTAGAAAGGAAGAAAAATTATTTTAAAGTTTGATGCGTGGTTTTTTTTGTGGTCGTGCAGTTTAAGTTTGCATTTTGCTGCATTTGCCTCAGAGACATGTTTAATTCCATTTATTTTTTTATATTTAACTTCATTTTCTGGTTTTTCTGAAGTCCCACCGTGTTTCTTTGTGGTGAGCTGCCCTGGTGTTACCAATGCATCTGAAATATTACAGCAGGAAGACAGCCACTTGAAAGCAATAATGAGGGCACGTCTGTCCTAGCTTTTATTTCCAATATGTGTTTTGTCCTTTATAAAGTTATACAAAGGGTGAAGCTTTCAGACATCCTGATCCTGCAGCTGCTTATAAACATATTTAACTTTATTATCCGGTGGCACAAGCTGGATACATCTATAATACAGAGGTATAACCTCTAGCTTTTGAACATAATTTATAAATCCAGCTATGGAAGAGGAAATAAAAGTGCAAATTTCAAATGTTTTACAAGTTTCCTCTCTGCACCTTGTCATACCTAACATCTTTTAAAACCCTACCCCAGGTGATTTAGGAGCAAAAGTCCCACTGACTGAGATAGGAACATAAATTGGTCAAATGTGGCAGAAGGTGATGATATTCCTGATGGGTCCTCTTCCAGTTTCAGGTTCATCTTATTTTCACAGGCTCGTTTTTCACTCTGATGTAGATGGGCTCCCTCTTCGTTTGCATGTTGGTAACCAAGGGCATATTTAACTCCTCTATGTGCACTGCTGGCATTTCCTATTTCCTGGGTTACTGAAATGTAGGTCAAATCAGAGAGGACTTGGAAGAAAAGTGACAGAGACAAAATTGAGAGAGGAAAGGTCGAGTGCAGCTCGATGCACACAGATGGCTTATTATCGCTAGGACCATGTGGCAGAATCCAAACTCATCCCACAGTCTGTTTTCATGCAACAAAACTCTTTCAGGGACTGCTGAACCTCTGAAAGTATCTGGGCGCGTTCTGCGTGACGTTCACACTTCCCTGACCTCGCAGAAGCCTTGGAGTAGTTACATTTTCAAATGTGGTTTTGCAAACCGAGAGGTTTAGCGCAATGCTGTGGTGGGATGGAGATCCAGCCAAGTATCTTGGTGTCTGGTGGTCTCTTAATCTAGACTCACCAGGGTTCTAGCAGGTCAAGGGGGGGCATCCTCCCCCTCTACTCTGCCCTGGTGAAGCCCCATCTGGAGTACTGTGTCCAGTTCTGGGCTTCCCAGTTCCAGAAGGACAGGGAACTGCTGGAGAGGGGACAGCAAAGGGCTACAAAGATGATGAGGGGCTTAGAACTTCTCTCTTATGAGGACAGGCTGAGGGACTTAGGGCTTTTTAGTCTGGAGAAGAGAAGGTTGAGGGGTGATCTGATCAATGCCTGTAAATACTTCAAGGGTGGGTGTCAAGAGGTGTCTGGTGACAGGACAAGAGGTAATGGGCAAACTTTAACATAGGAAGTCACATCTAAACATGAGGAGAAACTTCTTTCCTTTGAGGGTGGCAGAATGCTGGAACAGGCTGCCCAGAGAGGAGGTGGAGTCTCTGTCTCTGGAGACATTTAAAACCTGCCTGGACGTGTTTCTGTGCTCTAGGTGGACCTGCTTTGACAGGGGGATTGGACTAGATGATCTCCAGAGATCCCTTCCAACCCCATATCATTCAGTGCTTCTGTTCTATAGGTTTCCAGAGAGCAAATGGACTTTTTGTAGGTCCCACCTTGCCTGGCATCTCTACAGGACTGAAAATAACTCAACAGAAGCACTTCTCTGTGGATCCATCCTTACCTTTCTCCTGCTCAAAGAAGGTGCAGAAACCAAGACTCAAGCGCCTGAAGGATTTATGTTGGAACTAGATCCCTATGGATCAGAACACGAATAACACCTCCATCCCCTCCCACATCTTCCAGGCCTGACCTTTCACAATCTCCCATTTCCTGACCAATGACTCCAAAGAAAATAGAGCTGCTAGTTGGTATTTAATGGAAATCTGCGCAAAACTTGTCAAAATACACCGCCATGCCTGTCAGATGCCTGGGACAAGACCTCTACAGTAGTTTCCAGAAACCCAGCGCAATTACTTACATTTTAAATTATCTTTAATTGTCGCATGTGAGCTACAGCAACATTTTTCCCCACTCTCAAGCAAGACCTCGCTATTAAGAGTCACCCCATAATTGCAGCTTTAATAGGGGCCCGCAGCAGGTCGGCCGCGAAGGTTAGCGCGGGGCGAGAGCGGCTGCCGAGCGCCTGTAAGTGGAAGTGACACATCACAATGGTCCCATCAATTATGTAGGGGCAGTTTGGAGTGTAAACTTTTTAGTGAATCTAATTACCTCGCCAGATGTTTTAATCCAATCTCTTTGCTCCTCCTCCGCCATCAAGCGCCACATTGTTTGGCGAGTTCCTGACATGAAAAAGTCACCTTAACCATAGAATTGAGAATAAACTTGAAGGTTTTTTGTTTTTGTTTTTTTTTTTTGCAGGAACTGAGCATCCTTTTGCTACCCGAGAGATTAGTCAGGTTCGTGTGTGACTCGGTGCTCGGGGGGACTGCACTGAGCCAGAATGAACGCGCTTGTGAATTGAGAAGGGTGTCACGAAGGGTGCAAGACTGATGAAAAATAGATGAGCTGGTGTAAATGTGCTCAGGAGCTGAATGACAACGTGTTAGCCTTGGCGCTGCCGAATTCAGGCAGGGCCTGTCAATAGCATTAGAGATGCTGCACCAGATTTTTCCAAGGCTGTTTGCAAATCGACCTAATGTTCCTGTTGACACAAACCCTTGAAAGCGCAGCTCAAAGCAGCTTTGCTGAACCCTCCTGATTTGCTCACAGATTGCCGTCAGATGTGAGCAGGAGAGAAAGTACTTGCCTGGGCATCCAGGAGAGGGGAAAATAGGGAATTAACTGTGCACACAGATGTGTGATATTACCTTCCAGAAACGTAGAGCAGGGAAGGAACTTACCAGCATCAGGAGGAGTTTCCTCATTGTTCAGTGAACTGTGTTTCTTGGTTTGGAGGGAAATCTGGGTACGTGCATCCAACACGTTGACCAGTCTTCAGCGTGGACTGCAGGGCTTGGAAAAATCTCCATCTTTGACAAATTAAGACCCTAGTATGAAAAGAAACACCACAAAACAACCCAAATCAGAGTGATCTCAAACTGTTTTTTGTTAGAACTCCAGTTGAACGATTTGATGGTCTTTACTGTTACCAGCTTATCACATTAATAGTTGCTTTTCTCTCACCCTGGTGAGACTTTGTACCAGAGACACCATCAGTTGCTCACTCGTGGGATGGCAACGTGCAGAGCAAACAATGAGCCAAGGCTGTTTAGAAATCCTTCAACACTTCAGGCAGCGGAGAAGAGCCCAAGTTTCCACGTAAAGGGCTGAACGGACAAGAATGACGTGAAACATATGGAAAATATGGAAAATGTGGAATAAGTAATAAAATTATAAATAAAACAAATACAATAAATTGGGAATGCAGTTTTACTCATAATGATTTGTGTTCCTAGTAACCCAAGACTCCCTTACCTTTGGAAAATTGCATGTTTTTCCAACGGGGGAGCTGACTGCAGGTGACAGGCCTGAAGGCTCGTGCGGTGGGTTGGGTCGTTGATGGCTCCAGCGTTCAGCAGGCACGTGGGGCTCCAGCAGCTCTGCATAAACCCTTTCTCTGACAATGACTTGCATCATGATCTCAGGAAAAATCACTTAATTAAGCGGCGGTTAGTGTTAGTGCAGGAATTTTGGCCAGAAATGAATCTTGGCTTGTTCTGGGTAGAGAGATTTGCCTGGCGGAGTTACTCACATGTATTGTGCTGGGTTCATTTCTTTTTCCCCCTGGATTTTCTTGATTATTGGTGACAGCACTTCACACGCTGCCCTCCGTGAGCGTGCTCTCCCAGTGATATCCCATGGGTGTACTGGTGGGATGGTGACTCCAGGTTGTCATTGCCATGAAAGCTGGCAGGTACTTCTGGCGCTCATACTCCGGGATTGCCTGAAAAGAATCTCTGCTTTCATAAAACAGTCATATAGAGACTGTCTTTAAGAGCTTTGGTATCTTTTCAGCTCCAGAAAGCAATGCTCAAAAGCTGACTCTGAAAAAAATACAAATAAAGTGCCTGTCTGCTTTAACCATTGCTGATGCTCTGTCATTAGATTAACAATCACTAGTGTTAAAGAATAAGCTTATCAAATAATAAGCTTATACTCTTAATTAGCCAAAGGTGTGTCGGAGCCCAGGGCCAGCACAAGAGCACCTGTGGTAAAAGCCAATAGGACGTAAAGAATGATGGGGCTGGACTCATCTGCCTCTAACCCTTTGTCCCAATTAATTAGATAGAAATTTAGCTGTAGTCTATTGGGAATGGCTTTGGCACAAGCCAAGAATAAGGCTTACATTCATGGCTTTCAGCCAGAAGAATTTATATCCAAAAAAAAGCATCCAGAAGGGCAGCAGAAGCCCAGTGGAGTGAACAACTTACCCAACGTCATTAGGAGAAGCAAAGCGTGCACACAAAGCACAGTGCCATGGTCTGAGACGATTAAATGCTGACTTATCTGAGACTGTCCCTTTGCTGTATGTCAACAGCTTGGAAAAGTTTCCTTTGATACCACTGTGATGATTTGTTTTCCTGTGCTAGCAATAAAAGAAAAAAAAAAAAATAAGAGGAGGGAGGGGAGTATGAGCAGCTTATGAATTGCAGCTATTCTTCAAGGTGAAAGATCTGAATTTCCATTTCCCTTTGCCATTAGGACTGATATAGGTCTGACTGGCCACTGCATGGTGAAAAAGTCCCTCCGTGTGCCAGTATTGAAAACTGTTTGTGCATTAGTTGGAGTCTTTGCCAGTGAAATAATTTCGTCCCCTTTGTTTATTATATTGAAACTCGATAAAAGAAAGCGTCAGAGGGGGGAAAAAACATAAGTTTGCAGTGTGAAATGAATGTTCTCATCTGGGCTCCAGGATGCAGCCGTGAGTAACGGCTGTGGCATCGCCGGGCGTCCTACTGCAAAAAACCAGTTATTGGGGGGGTGCCAGGAGAGGGACAGGCCGTGCTTGGCCAAGGGACCCCCACACTCCCTCAATTATGGGGACTGTCCCCTTTTGGGGGGGGGCAATTTCAGCTGCAATTCAAATCAGCTCATTTTCTGTTTAGATAAGACCCCCCTGCCACTGACCAAGTGAAGTGTCCTTTTAAAATGAGAAAGGCAGACTCTCTGTGTCCTCCCTGTCCTTTCAAGTTGATGGGATCCCTTTACAATACATGGCAAGACATTACTTTAAAATGCAAAATCAAAGAAAAGCCAACACAAAACTTCCCAAGCCCATAAGGTCTCTGTAGAAAAAAGGACATATAAGAATCACACATGGCAAGATGTTACTTTTTAAAATACAAAATCAAAGAAAAGCCAACCCAAAACTTCCCAAGCCCATAAGGTCTCTAGAAAAAAAGGACATAAGAATCACACATGGCTGAAATATTGCCAGATTCTGAAAGAATGGGCTGGAAAGACAAATAGATGTTTCTACCCAGCCTTTGGAATGGGTTCCCAGGAGCGTCTCCAAATGTACAGCCCCTTAATGGTTAATGATGTGCAGCTCGAGATGCTGCCCACGTGTTGGAAACACAACTGCTGCTGGGCAAAGAGAGCCCAGAGAGGCCAGAGGAGGAACTCTCTCTGCCTCCTAACCTGGGCAACCCCAGTGATTTTCCACCTTGGCACGCGTGACCCGGGATTGCTCCCCACCCTTTGCTCCTGGGGCTGCTGCCAAGGCCCTCGGGACAAACCCACGGCCCCGCTGGCTCCTTCCCTCTGCTGCTTTGAGCTGCCTGAGCACGGAGACTCATCCTAGAGAGGGTGTTTAATGAGCCGTGCATTAACTGGGGACAGTTATGGGGTAACGCATGCGGCCAAATGCTCATCTGCTGCGTGGTGAGGTCTTTAAGCCTTTGCTCTGAGAGCTTTGCAATGAATAGGACTTCTGCAGCATTGCCAGTGCCTTATGCTTGCTAGTCCTTACTCCTAAAAACTAAACTCCAGTAGTCACAAGTAGCCTTTTAGTACTTATAGACATGTGAGAAGGGGGTGTGTGGCACGTTAAACAGAACAGAGATGGGCATCGTTCCTGCCTGCACCTCTCCCGTGCCCACGGGCAGCCTTGTGTCCCAAAACTGGGCTCTGCAGATCCCCCCCCTTCCAGAAACACCCTCTCCCTCCTGCTTCCACATCCCCCTCTCCTGCCAGCATCCCGGGAAGGACAACTCCAGCTTCTGGTGGGAGATCTCCAGCAGGGAATTAGCGGCCGGGGAATTGCCCTCCGCCGCAGCCGCGTGGGAGCTTGCATCATGTTCTAGCTCTATCACTCACATCACTCATATTTACTTCTTTTGGCCCGATTTGCTGCCTGCCGAATAAATTTGCAGCTGCAGAGGCTGAGCTGGAGTAGAAAGCTGAAGGATTTACTTCCAGCTATTGAAAGCTTTACAGCTGAGAAATGTGAAGTTGCACAGATTCTGCTGCTGGAGACGCATCCTCCTCCTCCTCCTCTTCCCCCTCTCCTCCCCCCCCGATGCCACTGGGTTAAGGGGAATATGGCATCGTGGCCTGCAGGCAGCTTCTTCCAATTTAAACAAATTCCACCTTAAACATTGTTTGAAGGCAGAAATTCAGAGGCAGAACTTGTTGCTCGTGCAAGGAGCAGAGCGGTTCATCACTGTGTGCACAGAGAGACACCTCATGGGCACCGTTTGAGGATGAGCTGGGATGAAAAATGCCTCCAGGTGTAATTCCCAGCCGTCCCTGTTGTCTCTGCCCCATTAACTTGGGGACTGGCCCAAACATCTTCCCTCTAAAGGCATGTGTTTGGGGAAAGCCTCACCAGCACCCACCGCAGCGAGGCACTGCGGAGTGCTTTGATTTGACTTAAGAAGGGTCTTTCTGTACAGCTTTCAAATTCACAAAAGGAAAATTATGAATATTTTTTTTCCTGTGTTTGATTTATCCTCACTAGGGAGAGTTGCAGGCAGCTGAATCCAACAGGACCAGCTCCTGTGCCCGGTTCTGAGCAGCCCCCGGAGGGGGGGTCCCCGTCCCTGTCCCTGTCCCTCAGTATTTAGCGCTGGGTCCCTGTATTACTGCAACCACTACAGCCCCTGCTTCACTGAATTGCCCTGTTTGGATCAATGCTACCCTAAAATAACCACCAAACCACAAAAAATAGAGTAAGACAGACAGTAGCACAGCCAGTATATAAACAGGGTATAAAAAGCAGAGAGCTGGGAGGGAAGACACATCCAAAGAGCAAAGCAGTTTGCCAAAGGAGAGGAAGAAGTGGCTGAGCAGAACAGAGAACTCGGGTATCTTTATCTGAGCCCAGCCCATGGCTCATCACCACCCATGAAGGAATGCCCCATGGGATGAAAGGTGGGTTTCTCACTCCTCAGCTCCGTGGGGCTCCCAGGAAACCCCAGGAGAACTTCTAGCTTTGCCCACATGGTTCAATGACACACGGCAGAGATTGACGGTAACAGAAACGAGATCCCTGAGATTGCTTGTCCCAAAACTCCCTCTTCACTGTCCTCCTGCTCTCCCCTCCTGGCTGTGGGACCCAGGGGTCTGGAGACACCTGGAGCAAGCAGGGCTTGGAGGGTAAGTGCTCCCTTGGTTTCCTTTAAACCACACTCAAGCCCAGCGGCGTCGGATGCTCTCTCCATCCTGCAGGACGCCAGCCCTCACTCAAGCTGTCTTTATTTAAGCAGTTGGTGCTTCACAGATTATTTCCAGGCCCCTTGAGGGTAGAAACTCTTTTACCTCTTCTAGCCCTGAGACCGTTCCAACAGCTGTAACTATTTCATTTTTAATTTACTTGATACAACTTGTCTCTGCTTAATCCATCAGGGCAACTTTGAGGGTTCCTGACCCATAAATCCAGAGCGAGGAGGGTGGTGGGGATTGGTGGGGAGGGAAAAGAGGGGAGAAAAATAAAGGAAAAGAAATGCAAAGGATTTTGAAAAATTAATCTAAACTGTAGCCAAATATATTTTCCCAACTTACTGCAAAGTGCAAGACTAGACCCAGTGAAACAGCCACATCTCCCCTCGGTGCTTGGGGGTGAGGCAAGACCTTCACTTTTGTCATGGTGACACACCCCCCCTATACTTAACTTTTTCAACAGCTTAAACCTCCTAAATTAGTCCAAAATGGACAAATGTAAGTGTTTTCTCTTGCTAACTAGTTCCCTTTGTTTAACACCATGCCTAAAGAGGAAAAACGGCTTCATGCTTCTTTATGTAAATATAAACAAATAAGTTTTACACCAGGAACTTTTAAAGGCAAAACATCCCCTCCTTCAGGTGCCGCCTCCCCCCCATTGCCCACCCTCAGAGGCTCCGTGCTCTTTTTCGGGTGGGTGGCAGGACTGCTCTAAATCAATCAGCTGACATTAGGCTAATGCCTAATTAGCTATGGGTGGGCATGTGCTTTGATTATAGGAAGAACCTCAGGCAATGACTCGTGTTTTTAAGGCCCACTTCTACGCGTATCAATCATCTTTTGACATGCAGAGCAGGAGGGAAGAAAAATAAGCTGTAATAATAATAATAAAAAAGAATTTTCAAGAAAGAATTTTGAAATATTAATGTGTACATGAGTGTGTGTAACCCTGTGGCTACACTGCAGTTAGGGCTGAAACGAAGAGCACTTTTTTGTACATTGGCATTAATAACGAGAGTTTTTCTCACTTAGGAAGAAGTCCAAGAACTAAATTTTCCCTTTACCATCCTCTGTGATTTTAAGCAAGGAGAGAGGTTTCCTTTTTAGGGAGAGAAAGGTGAGATGCTGCATCCCAGGGAGACCTGATGCTACGATTTTAAAGAGATGTCTCCCATCAGGGTAAGTTCTTTGGGATCTGTAAAATCGGGCTGCACTTCCCATGTTGGCTGCTGTGGTGTCTCATGGGTCTCTCTTTCTCCTGCACTTTTCCAACCCCCTCATGAGCCTGAGTTCCCCCTTGACCTGCTGGACATGCATTTATTTTTTTTTTCCTAAACAAGATCTTATTTTTCCCATGATGAGGGCAATTTCTTGGCTTTTTTTCATGGCACGTGCTGACTTACCAAGGCTTGGCCGTGTGGGAGTGTGCTCCATGTGTTCACTGCTCTCCATAACTAGCTCCATCTCGGTTGTTTGTAGTCACCCTCCTCCTCCAGAGGCTCCCCGAGCGTGGACAGCAGCGCCGTGAAGACAAAATTGATGCCAAGTGAGAACATTGCAAGTTGGAGAATTTTTTCTGCCTCAAAAAAAACCCACCAAAAAACAAAACCAAAGCTGAAAAAACCCTACCCCTCTTCAAAAACCAGCGTCTCCATTTCTCACTTTAATTGTTTCACTTCAGGCTGCATAACAATGCTTCAGTTTATTGGGAAAGACAAGAGGGATTTTTTTAGAATTACATGTAGATATAGAAACCGTATAGGAAAGGTTCTAATTATAACTATTAAACTTGGAGAATAAAGGGATACAGTATTCCTAGCTCGCTCGGCGGTTAGGAGTTATGCAATATTTCTGTGCCTTAAAATGTGTGGCAAATGATGTGATTTTTTTAAAGGAAGAATTATTTTTATTTTATTAAACTCACCCTCAAGATTGTTCTGCTTTGGGTGATTGACTTTGCCTCTTTCCTGAAACTTTCTGTACCGAGCAGATGGGAAAAAGGCTTTTTGTGAGATATGCCAGAGTTGTACTTTAAATAATAATAATAATAACAACAACAACAATAATAATGAAAGTCATCCTAGGTGCAAACTCTGATTGCTTTACTCCTGGCTCCCCCGTAACTCTCTGAGACCACATTTTAAAATTGTTGGGTGATGATTATTCAGGGATTAGGGATTAGCACGGTGGTTTGACTGCCTGTCAAAGCCTTAAAATAATACACAGATTAAAATAATTCAATTTTCTCATCAATAATGAAGCAGATGATTTTAAAGTCCACGTAACCTCTAATGGAAAAAAACCTGCGCTGGGTAACGAGAAGGGAGAGATTTTCTGAATGATCTCATGACCTCTGCCTCAATCTTAGTTTGGTCTGATTTCTGCAGAGATATTTAATAACGTGTATGGCACTCAATTAAACCTCAGAAGCTCATTAGGCTGGCAATCACATTTAGTATGCACATCTACTGGGAATATAGAGAGAAATGTAATAACCAAACATAATAGAGCAGATCACTCAAAGCAAGCAGCTTGCTCCCCTTCCAAACAAAAACCCCAGTGACCTTTGAAAGAGAACGATTAAACAAACGAAACAAATCAAGGTTTTCCACTGAAACTTACTCATCAAACCTTGGACTCCTCCCTTCCTTGTGGCAACTGGGACTGGAGGAAGAGGAGTTGCTGGGGAAGGCAGTGCTCAGCTCAGATCTCTTCTGAGATAAAAACACACATGTTTTCCCAAGGGGAAAAAAATATGTCATAAGAGGCAAGTACCAGGGCCCTAAAGTGCTCTTAGCATTAAAAAAGGGAGGGAATAAAAAGGAAAAGATGCTGAAAACACAGATAAGCAGGTACCTGAATCCTGTGCAGGGCACACGGACGCCACTTGTGATGAGAGCTTGTCCCACCTGAATTCAGCTGGTGCATCTGGAAATACTGCCCTGAACTGGGGGGTAATGGGGCTGCCCTGGACCAGCAACGGTGTCGGAGAAGCCACATCTGTACAGGAGGTAGGGTGGCTCAGAAGAAGACCTTGGTTTCCTGACAGACACATGGAGGGAGGAGAGAATTAAAAAACAACAATAAAAGAGCACTTACATTTTTAGAGAAGCTGTGCTGCAGTGAAAGGCTTCAAATTCTATGTTAATATCCCTCAGTGTAACACTAATATTTTATCATCATATCACATCACATCATATTAATCAATCATATCATACCTAGAAGAATGCCAATATAGCCCCAAGACTGAAGAAGAGACTGGACAGGAATACCAGAAACAGAGGAATGTTTTTTCTTATGATAATGCTGCAAAGGAAGATTATTTTTTGTAGAGTACCACGGTGCTGCTTTAAGCAGTTACTTTGTCCTGCAGCCTGTCTGCAGGGAGAACCGCTGCGGCTGGAAATGAGAGTGAAGACACCTGGATGATGTTAATGGTGCCGCCACTGACTTCGGGCTGACAGCTCTAAACGGGGAGGACAGCTCTTCTAAGTGCTTGTTGTCAGAGGCTGAGTTACTATTAAAGAGGTTTTCCAACAAGGATTTAAAGCAAACAGAGAACAGAGAGGCTTTATCAGACGACAATAAAATCCAGAGCGATGAGCCGGTGGCAGAGTCCAGCTCTCACATGTCCTGCATGTTCCCAGCCATGGAGGACATGGAGGAGGAGGTCGAGGTGATGACCACCCTACGGTAACGACCACCATCTGGAGGCAGAACAGAGAAACCAGGGACACCCTTGAGTCCTCGCAGCCACGCGAGTGGCCCTGGATCTGCTTTGCGTGTTGATTCACAGCTTGGAAGAAGGTCCCAAACCACAAATCCTGCAGTCAAACGCCGTACCGAGCTCATTTACTCAGACTTCGTGCAGGGAGTTAGACTTTTTGTCCATTATTCTATTTATTACCAGACGTGAAAATAATAACTCCTTCAGCCGAGGCTACACAACCACAATCAGTCAATTCAGTCCATGGTGTAGACGTTCTCCTGGACTTCAAACTTCACTGGACGGTTTCTGAGAACAACTTTTCCTGTCTTTGCTCAGCTAAGAAACTCCATCCCATCCTGGCAGACAACGATCTGGATGCAATTTCTCACATTATAGGCCCTCTCTGTGAGACTGCAGCAATAAATATGCCATGGGATGATGCTGTTAGCATGTGCAGAGCTCCAGTTGATGCAAAGCATGTATTTTGTCAGCAGTTCGGGTGTTGGGAGGCACCACACAGCTTCTGGGACTTCCCCATGAGTGGCAAAGCCTCTTTGAGGAGACTGGTCTTCATCTGCAAAGCATTTCACAGAAATGCTGGTCCCTGAAGCGACCTGTAGAGCTCGATGCTGAAACTTCTGCTGTGCCACACGTGTCCCCTTGGTAAGGGGACAGGAGACCCAGCAACAGGATGGATACCTGTCCCAAAGCTCAGCGTGCTTCTGGGAGACCTCCAGGCTCCATAGGTGACTAAATATAAAGAAGGACATAGTTCTGAGCAAGGGAATAGCTCTTGGTGTCTCTGGGTCTTAGATAGGTTTCTGATGCGTGGCTACAAGAATAGACCAGACTGACCTGGCTCGACGGCTACTTATCTGCTGGATGGGGCCTTACTGAAGCCTGCTTGTCTCAAAAAATATGCTGTCATGCCAGTCGTTAATCTCCCAGGTACAAAGTTGGCATTCAGAAATGCTGGAGGCTCATTGGGTTGCAAAATCTCCAAAAAAAAAAAAAGTTTGAGAGGCTTTGGTACAGGAGTGACTGGGTGTTTCAGAACTGACCACAGAGGCAGATTGTGGTGCGGCTCCACATGGTGGGCTTCAGCTTCCAGATGCAGTTTAACGCATCCCCATCACCAAGAAAACCACTAATGCTGAAGTATTTAAAGGAAAAAAAAAAAAAAAGCAGGCGGCCCATGTTTCCCTGCTGCCTGGGTTTCCTCTCCAGTTGCTAATTATGAACCCTACAAAATCAACCAAAATGCATTTACGGCTTTGAATGTGTCACGACTTTGAATCGCACCACAGAAAGTCCAGGTTGCAGCTTTGTTTCTCTTCCCAGATCTCATGTTTGCTCATTAATTAGTGCTAGTTTCAGGAGATTAGATGACTTTTTAATGTTTCCCATGTAAAAAGAACATAAAGTGAGTTTTTTGTTTTTTCCCTTCGCAAATGGAAAAGGAAAAGCAAAGAGACCTTTTTCATTTATACGCAGCTATTTTTTAATTTTCTTTTGAAAAATGTTGCCAGTACCCAGAAGTGTCAAATTCTAACACGCAGGGGGAATAATGTTGTTTTTTAGCTGGTAATAGTCTGTGTTTTTGTGGCTGACTATTGGGAAATTTTTAACATATTTCTTCATCCTGTATTTTCAGGAGATGAGATGACTTTTTAATGTTCCAGGGTAGAAAACCCCATAAAGAAAGTGCATCTTATTCTCAATAATTTTAAGGACATCTTTTACTTAGAAAGCAAAAGTAATTACATAATTGGGACAGCTTTTACAATTAACAACCAGAAACCTAACAATATGGCATTTTGTAAGGAATTGAGCTATTTGCATCCCTGCTGCCTGGGTTTCCTCTCCAGTTGCTAATTATGAACCCTACAAAATCAACCAAAATGCATTTACGGCTTTGAATGTGTCACGACTTTGAATCGCACCACAGAAAGTCCAGGTTGCAGCTTTGTTTCTCTTCCCAGATCTCATGTTTGCTCATTAATTAGTGCTAGTTTCAGGAGATTAGATGACTTTTTAATGTTTCCCATGTAAAAAGAACATAAAGTGAGTTTTTTGTTTTTTCCCTTCGCAAATGGAAAAGGAAAAGCAAAGAGACCTTTTTCATTTATACGCAGCTATTTTTTAATTTTCTTTTGAAAAATGTTGCCAGTACCCAGAAGTGTCAAATTCTAACACGCAGGGGGAATAATGTTGTTTTTTAGCTGGTAATAGTCTGTGTTTTTGTGGCTGACTATTGGGAAATTTTTAACATATTTCTTCATCCTGTATTTTCAGGAGATGAGATGACTTTTTAATGTTCCAGGGTAGAAAACCCCATAAAGAAAGTGCATCTTATTCTCAATAATTTTAAGGACATCTTTTACTTAGAAAGCAAAAGTAATTACATAATTGGGACAGCTTTTACGTATCTCTTTCTGTTCAATTAACAACCAGAAACCTAACAATACGGCATTTTGTAAGGAATTGAGCTATTTGCATACTTTGCTCAGGATTTCAGTGTGTGCTGTCCATCCCTGGGACAGGGCAGGTGGCTCAGAGGCCGCCCCATCCACAGCACCTGTGATTTTCTGTGATTTTCAGAGCATTGGCAGGGCTGGGTCATTTATGAAGACAATTGGCTTTGCTGGAGGTTGGGGAGGTTTCAACCCTGCCTGGCTGAACCTTCCCAGCAAAGGAAACTCAGAACACGTTGGTCCCTGCACCTTCCTACAGAGCTGGAAAATAACCCACAAACTAAAGAATATCTCATGGTGCAACCTTGAGGCTGCTCCTCTGTGGTCAAGGTAGCATGGAAGATATATTTCAACTAGGGCAGGAGGTAGGCATCCAAAAGATGCACGGGCACCCTGACACTGACCTGGCTGCTCCACTCAGGGCATTTGGTTCCCAGCTGTGCCTGAAGGGTAAAAGCTCATTAGCTAACGAGCTCACGCCCGGTGCTGTGCTGGTCTGAGCTTCAGAGCTGGCTGGGGGTGGAGAGGGAGGTCTGCTCTGGGCTTAGAGAACCTGACTCCCAGACCACACGAGTTTGACTTTGTGCGCGCAGGAATTCATAGCGAATTCCTAGAGCTCCTGTGCCGGCGCTTTCCACCAACCCTGAGCCGGGATGTTGGGGTCTGATTCTGCTTACTCTTAACCCAGCAAAGCCCAGGAAAACCTCAGTAACTCCATTGAGGTTTCTGCTTTGGACACTGCTGTGAGAAGAGAATGAAACCCTGGTGGTGCAGCTGGAGCAGCCCTGCGAGCCAGAGATGCTCTTTCTAAGCCCTTTGGACCAGCAGACAGGCACGGATGCTTGTGGAGATGCCCTTGTTCCTGCAGCTCATCTCACTGAGCATCTCCTGTGTGTCCTTAGCCTGGTCAGTGGAGAGACCAGAGGGGCTGAGGAAGGTGAAGGTCCCAAACATCCTACAGGATTTCATCCCTTGATTTTCAAACCACCGAGTCACCTTCTCAAAACCGAGAGCACCGCACAAGCCTGGGGACACAGAGCCACCCCCTGTGCCCTCCTCTCCATCCCCACACCAGTCACAACCCTTCCCAGCAGGACAGGGATGACCCTCGCTGCTGCAGCTCCCTCCTGCTGCTCCGTGACATCCCTCAATATTTACAGACGTGACTAAGGACACAAGCCCAGGTCTATTTCTTGATCCCTCTGTGCCTATGAAACAAGCCTCCCTGGGCACTTTCCTTCTGGGAGTAAACTGTCATTTTTCACCACATAAAATTTTATAAGTTTCAAGCGAATGGAAAATGGATTTTATTATTTTATTTTTTTATATCTTTTTTTTTTCTTCTTCTTTTTTTTTTCCCCCTGAATGTTTTATGGCTGCGAAAACAGAATTTGTGGTTTGAACTGTTAAGGTTTGATGCAGAGGGCTATGGAACCTTTTATGTAACCCGCTGGCCTGAATAATTATCAAAATATTTTGCTTTCCACTCTTTCTAAGCCTCTGCATCAGAAAAAAAATAGCGTATGCAACCTTTTGACCACAAAATAATAATACTAAGAAAGCCCCCTTCAGAAGCCGCGCTCGCGGAGCTGCCCCGGGGAAGGCCAGTAGCTGCCGGCGGCCGTGGGGCCAGGGCTTATCGGTCCTGGGGTGGGGAGAGGGGACCCGGGGGATGCAGGGATGGACCTCACCTCCAGAAGGACTTTCACACAAAGCTGCTGGTTTCAGGGGGTGAGGAAACGGGTCTTTGCTGGGATTAGAGACACGCGGGAGAGCCACGGCTGGCTCAGCTGACAGCAGGGACAACTTTCAGGTTTTCAAAGCATCAGGTTTTCATATGCACATCATGTATGATCTAG